TTATTTAGCCTTTCATAATTACGTCCATATTGTGTTGTAGGATATGTTTTCTTTTGTTCATTAAAAAATGGCACTCGTGTACGGATTATAAAATGTTAATTGTCTTAAATATTGGACATTAGGATTCTATGGTTTCACGGCAAGATAACATCAGTATTGATTGAAATTGATCAATATTGAATTCTATTTCGTGTTGTTTAATTTTGAATATTATGGAAAATATTGTGTTAGAGAACTTGCTCTTTTAAGGCCTAAAGAAAGAACTGCAACAAGAAAATTGAGCTCTTGAATAATGTATCCATAGTAAGACGTTGGCTCGCTAACCAGCAGGTTCCGGGTTCTCTCCCGGTGTTGGCCCAGAATGATCCTGGATGTTTTTAGGCGTGGTTTCCACTTGTCAGTGGTGCAGAGGACAGAGAGCCTGACAAGGGACAACGTATAGTCGTTCGGGTGGTACGAAAACTGGAGGCCCTGTGTACACATTGTCGTGCACATAAAAGATCCCTTGACAGTGTAGACCGTAGAGTCGTTGAAAATATATCCTCATTGCACACTGGATGGCGTATTAGCCCAGCTGGTGCACAAAGTTGAAAATGAAATGAAATGGGATTTAACGTCCCACGGTTCTTCTCCGAACTGGGCTAATGACGACGGGCATACGGCATACAGTGTGCTATGAGAGAAATTTTGCCTGGACAGCGGCACTACCGCCTACTCTTATATCGAATTCCAACTGTCAAGGGATCTGTTACGTGCACGCCAATGTGTATACGGATCCTCTGTTTTTCGTCCCATCCGAACGACTAGACAGCTGTCCTTGCCAGGACCTCCGTACTGCATTACTGACAAGGGGCAACTCGGAAAAACTGAATGAAGGGATCGAACATCTGACCTCCAGGCTAGCGAGCCAGCATCTTACCCACTTAGTGCAGAAAGTTGACTTTATACCCCATTCTATGTATATCAAATAAAATACATGCTTCTATAAACAATGCCAGCACGTAGAAACGGTGTTTAATAAAGGACTACAAAGAAGGTCACGAATATATCAGCAACAAAGACTACTTCTACATGTTGCCATCAAAAGAAATGAAATTGAGTTTAACGTCTTACTGTTCTGCTCCGACTGGGCTAATAAAGGGGGGTACCGCGATCAAAAGATATCAAGATGGATAAACCTACTTTGATGACAAGCGACTCATACCTTAATATCGGATGAGAGCGAGAGACAGACTGTCTTTGATTTAGTTATCGAGACACGGGGGCTCGGTGAGTGACATGTCACGTGTACACATTGACGTGCACTTTAAAGAACCTTTGACAGTTGGAATTCGAGATAAGAGTAGGTCGCAGCGCCGTTGCCGAGCCAAATTTACCCCACAGCAGACTAAATTATATGCCCGTCTTCATTATCCCGGTCGGGGCAGAACAGTAGGACGTTAAACCCCATTTCATTTCATTTCTTTCGATATATGCTCTTTAAATCTTTCTTTAGATCATAAAGTCTGTTATTGAGCTAGGTTACGAGGTTTCGATTCCCTGTCGAGTAGGGTCGCCAGTCCAACCTCGTGTTTTTTCTCCAGATCCCCCCCCCCCCCAAAGCAAATGAAACCTACAGGCAAGCGAATTCTTGAAATAAATTTGAACCATGTTAGTCCCGAAGTGACCTAGTTTGTTTCGACTGGACGTTAAACCCCATCTCTATTAGCTAATTTCTGTTAGAAGATTTATAAATCTAATTCAACTTTGTACCCGAACATCTTGGCACAGGAAATTTCCACACCAGTTTTAGCTCCTTTAATTCAAAGTCAGTTGAATAGCACACATATTGTTTTATATCCACGGAAATTCAGGAATATTTTAATTTTCTATTAGAATTTTTATAAACTTTGTTTCCGTGCACCTTAGCACAGGAAATTTCAAACAAGAGTCTTCAAAGAATTTGTGAAGTCGGATATTACATGAGGTGCATATCCACGACACAAGGTGTCCGGTTTCAAAAACAAGCGAATTAATGCAAGAGAACTAATGACTTTAAAACGTGACCTTTTAAATAGAAACCAAAGGCGAACTCTAGAACTAGACAAATAGTGATTTAGTGCCATTCCATGTTTTTGATCTTTACGTCAATATTGGTGACATATTATATCTGATCTGCCATTTGCATTATGTTTGCTTTCAATTTCAGCAATAGGCAGCGGACAACTTAGAATGCACAGTGGAGTATAAAATAAATGCATACTCCACCGCCACGGATATGTTATATGTGCTGTTGATTTCATTTGTTAAATGTCAATCAGTGGGCAGGTGATCGTTTTCCAAGAATAACTGAGCTGTGGAGGAGTATTTATTTCAAAGGAATGTGTGACAATTTGGCCACCGACGTTCTCTACCCTAATCATAAACCTATAGAAACAATTTAATGTCTTTGCTCGAAACGCTTGACAGTTGCCATTCGCAATATAAGTAGGACGTAGTGCCACTGTCGATGCATGATTTTCTGTATGTACCGATCTTCCTTAGCCCATTCCCTTTTATTTCGACCCATCCTTTAAAGGGACATTATATGAGATTAGATAGTTTAAAACTAGATAATGTAAAGGGGATATGCTGAAAATTGCTCCACTATGAAAGGATGTATTAGCTATTGAATTTTAGGCCTAGCCTTGATCATCATCACTAAAGGTGGTACAATAAAAAAAAACAAAGTCTGGATTGAGCAGCAGATCGGATTCAAATCCAGTAAATATCGCAGTCTAGCGATAGCATCGAGAGTTGATTATGGTCTGGAAAAGCTAATTAATGTCTAATCAATAATTCAGATAACATTTCAGACCTAAAGGAAGACCTAAACAGACTGGCAAAACTGAGGGTTTGTACAAAGTCCATGGACGTATTTGCTCAGGAAATAGTCGCACTTTCTAAAATTCGTCACAAAGTCTGCCAATCTGTAGTTATATCCCCACACATTAATGTGGCTAAAAATGATAAATGTGATTAGAAAGTAAATGCGAGTTGAACGTCCTATTTATTCATTTACTTACATAATCTAGATTAATGTAATTATGCTTTGTCTATATCATAAAAAAAACATTGTAATCTATATAAATAAAGTCAAAGATGTCTGTATGTGTATGTTCGCCCATGAGGCTTCATCACCGCGATCCATAGCCGCATATGTAGTATCAAATTAACCTGCATGACCCCATGAATGTTTAAGGCCATAGAAGTTGTGGCCGCACTCCACCCCATGTGAAATTAACCAGAGAGAGAGAGAGAGAGTCCTCCCACTTCTAAAGACCCCTACACGCAAGCGAATTAATGAAATAAAATTGAACAATATGTTAGTCCCGATATGACCTAGTTTGTGTCGGCTGAATGTTAAACCCCATTTCTCTCTATCTTTCTTAATTACTTCTTCCACATTGGCGGGATGAATCTTCGTTTTCTTGTGGGACTTAACGTCCAATTCCCACTAGCCTGATATCGCAGACGCATGGTACATCAATCCATTGTCTTTTCAAGTCACGTGATTAAATAGAGATCAATATTTAGGAAAGAAGTTACAAGACCTACAACCTAATGATTACAGACGACCAATTAATCAAATCAGACTCCAGTTTCACAAAGCATTCCAGAAACACTCAAATTTGCACATAGTTTTTTATTGATGTATTTGATACAAAATAAAAATATCAGGGGCTATATTTTGGTTAAAGTAAGGCGAACAAAATTTAAGTAAATTCGTAACTTAAGTCTGAGAATGCTTTGTGAAACAGGAGCCAGGATGACTTTCCTCCAACTACAGACGTAAACACAGTAAATCAAATAAAATCGGATTTCACGTCCTACTTCGGAATGCACATTCTACTTTTCTGCCCCAAATATGTTTATGAAGACGGACATACGCCATGGTTTTAATGTTTAAAGATAATTGATTGGCCTGGTTTTTCATCCTAGCCGATGGACTAGACGCTGCCAGCTATGGTTTTAATGTTGTTAAAGATAATGGAAACAATATGATGGATTGATTGTATGTTTTGTTATTGTACAACAACCGTAATTCCTATCAGATCGGTTATACCATGTCAGCGATGGTTTTAATGTTTAAAGATAATGAAAATAATATTATGGATTGATTGTGTGTTTTGTTATTGCACAACACATTCCTATCATATGTTTTAGTAAAATCAAATATACATGAAATGTGTGGTTTATAAGGCCGATATATACGCGATCAATATTGTTGACACTAGTAGCTTCGATAGCCCAGTACCCCAAACAAAACACGTGGAGAGCACACTGTCATATAGCAATCTATGTGTTATAGTACGATGCTATCTTTATGGTCAGTGGATCCGACGGTGGTTTATTAGACTTAAGTGCCATGCCCAGAAAGCTGTTAAACAGACGGATCTGCCTTGTAAATCAACTGTAACAGTGGTCAGGTTGGTTTTTTTTCTCGAACTTGTGACATTATTTAATAATACAAAACTGGAGTCCATTGCAAGCTTTTATTTCAGTGGCTATTGGTTTCAATATATATGTGTTACATCAAAATGAAATGAACTTATTCAGCTAAGTGATGCCTTGGGGACGCCTTCCAGCAAAATTACTCATTTTATCATAGAAACCAATAGGCAGTGATTCTGTGATTCTGCAGCTCGCAGCAACAGAAGGTGATTTCGGATCAATCCAATATTTGGCATATTTTGGTAATGAAATGAGCTAATGAGAGAGCCTGGCTTATCCAAATCCTGGAAAAAATCAACTTTTATTGTTTCGCGAAACACTTGACTGACCAACATTTAAATTAGTTTTATCTACTAGTGTCTTTATTATAAAGTTAGCGTTGTTTAATACGGCAAAAGGTAGAGGTGATCTGATTGGCTATTGCACAAAAGTTAGAGGTGATCTGATTGGCTATCGCACTTCTTTGGTGTAAACATGTGTGTCTGTATCTATTGGATTATCAGATATTTAACCTCGTTTTGATTTCTTGGACAGACGTTCAACACTGTGTTGTCTCGCATATTAAACTTTTAGATCATGGTCTCTTTCAGCAACTGTTAGATTTTATTTTCCGAGAATGTTAAAATGTGATGGATATTTTGAGTAAGTTTTAATGGGGTAAGTTGTGATTAAGCGAAACTTTAGTGAACATCTTTAATTCAATTTGCACCATTGGTGACGTAAATTAAGCGTCGTTTCAGTATTGACGTTGTTGCTACCGACAATTAATAAAATATATAAATTCTGTTCCCGACTTTTGTTGATGTAATTTGTACATCGACGACCATTCTGGAACAGTCTGGTGTCCTGGGTCCAACCTATTAACAATTGTAAACAACTTTTAATTCGTTTTCTCTTAACACCGTTGATGACAAAACTTCATCACTGAAATGGTTCCATGTCGGCAGTTAATAAAACACAACTATAAAATCTGTTCCTGACTTCGGTTGGCGGAGTGCAGAAAAGTAGGACGTTAAACTCCATTTCATTTCATTTCGGTTGATGAATTCACACATGAAGTTAAAGGTACTCTTAGTTTGCGCCAGAACACTGTCTTCTGGAAAATCGTGTGGTACCATTTGCCGATAACGATGTATACTTCAAGAATGATATTTTGATTGTTGTATTAACAAACTATTAGCGCGAAATTTGGAAAGGCTTTTCTAAATAAATTGACTTCTATTTGATTTTAAGATTCTGCTTGAATTCTCATGAATAAATTGACTTTAAAACTGATTGAATTCTCGTGAAAAACTTTTCCTAATACAATGATTTCGATTATTTGAGAAGAGTTTAACATTGTGCTTGATTTCCCACGTCACCGGACCTTTAAGACTGTTCTAGCTTGGCATTGTGGGGTGTAATTCTAATATGGAACTGGTGATTGTGTAAATGATCAGCTGTCGTATTGACTGGCTGGAAAGCTCCTTTATACCACAAATCGTCTTAAAACAGTAATTACCAGGACAAGTAGAATTGCATGTCATGAATGTTTGATACATTGATTACGGATAACACAACAGTTACAACAGGAGACTACGCAATACAATGTTCAGGTAGGCATATTAACTTACATATTCTTAAAAACTTGTACACAATGGGCGTGGTGTGGTAGTCCGTCCAGCACAACCATTGCAGTTATTTAGCACAAATCGCCTTGAATTCGAGTACCAAAAGCATAATTATCTCTATCTCCCCCTCTTTCTCTGCCCCTCTCCCTCCCTCGCTTTCCCCCTCTCTCTCCCTCTCTCTCAAATACATGACATCCCATTCGGTCTAGAAAGCCGGTATATATGAAATGAAATGGAGTTTAACGTCCTACTGTTCTGCTCCTGTACTGCGCTAATGAAATCGGGCATACACCATACATTGTGTTTATAAGGCGTACTCTTATATCGAATTCCAACCGCCAAGCGATGAAAGCCGACGTGATTGCGACAGAGACTTTATATTCTACGTTAAAGATATGTTAATAATTCGGCAGTGGCGCAAAAAAGTTCACTGGGATTTTCCCCCTTGTCATTGATGCAGGGCAGAGGACCTGGCAAGAACAACGTACAGTCGATAGGATGGGACGCACGTAAAAGAACCGTTGGCAGTTGGAATTCAATAGCGCCACCGTCCGGCTAAAATTTCCCTCATAGCACACCATATGGCGTATGCCCATCTTCATTAGTCCAGTCGAAACAAAACAGTAGGACGTTAAACTGTGTTTCATTTTATTTCAATTAAAATACTTTTGATTTTTTTTTTTATAAATCTCAAAGTACACCACTCGTCTGTTAGCTGCGGGAACTCCATAAATTGGAGGTGGCATCAGGTGTTCTATAGATAACTAAAGCAATGAGAAATGATGTCATATTTTTAGAAGGGGTACGCCTACTGGAGGGTCACGTGGCTAAGTGGGTAAGACGCTGGCTCGCTAGTCTGGAGGTCGGGTGTTCGTTCCCTGAATTGGCCGAGAAAGTTCATCCAGATTTTCCGGCTTGGTTTCCACTTGTCAGTGATGTAGGACGGAGGGCCTGACAAGGACAGTTGTCTAGTCGTTCGGATGGGACGAAAAACCGAGGTCCCGTGTACATATTGGCGTGCACGTAAAAGATCCCTTGGCAGTTGGAATTCGATATAAGAGTAGGCTGTAGCGCCGCTGCCCGGGCAAAATTTCCCTCATAGCACACTGTATGGCGTATGCCCGTCTTCATTAGCCCAGTTTAGAAGTACAGTAGGGCGTTAAACCCCATTTCATTTTATTTCGGTACGCCTACCCTATCCTGCCTCACACACCCCATCCATCACACGGTTTAAAGGACAATATTGGTGTCAGTCATTATCATATATGACGGATTATCATATATGACTGATATAACTGCATGGTTAAACACGTTCTAAATACAATTTTAACACATGGATCATTGCTACGATAGATGAGTTATGAAGATTTCAAGAAAGGGAAGTGACGAAAGCAAACGAAAAACACGAGGTATCCTTCTACATAACTGACTGAAGTGACGAGTGATAACAGATACACGGGCGATTTTCCGTGAATTACAATGTTTTTAATAATTATAAAATGTAGGGAAAATTTCTATTTATCTCCTTTTCCCTTATTTAGTGACATTCAATTACTATTTTGTATTATAAGATATACTCTAACAGCCCCACATAGCAACTTCTGGCCTTCCAAGGAATTATTAGTGAGCAGAAATTCGCCCGTGTATCTGTACTCGTCACTTCAGTTCTATCACGTATGTGATAATGACTGACACCAATATTGTCAGATATTGAACAATCTAGGTAGATATATAAAGTTAGCATTTTCGTTTGCGGTAAAAGTATACGTAGTGTGTGACGCCCTTTTCTCCTAACAAAAACACGGTTTATTTTCACAGTTACAATTTCCTTTTATTCTTTTATATAAAGAAAACCCCGTCGTCCTGCTATGTCCAATGCTAATAGTTAGAAGTCTGTCAGAAACAGTTTGGTTTCGTACATTAACAAATACCTCGGGAATTTAAAGATATTTATCCTTATGAATAAATGTTGGATACATGGAAATTATGTCAGATTTTATTTCCAACAACAGTGATTATGGTTTTACAAGTGTCAGAATGTCTATTTCAATTAACTATCACCGACGTCAATCATGACGCGTTAACGCGAATTCAACCAATCAGATTATATTGTCGTTTTCACGTGAAAAAAGGGACGCCGTTTGAGCCCGAAATAGCACTTAAAGTTGATGATTAAGCCAAAATACAGTGTTACTTTGGGATGGAAAAGATGGCAGCATTGTTAAAAATGGACATGCAATTGTGAGTGACCTCGTAGAAAATTTCACAAAATGCAGGTTATGCGTCAATCGATTGTATGCAATCTCAGAGACAGGACTGATCTAAATATGTTTAAAGATTCATTCAGAGCGGAAATATTTCACATTGCGTAAAGGGTATACGCGAACAACCAGACTTCCAGTTACCGTCCACATAATCCGTCTTCATTTATCTTGGCCAATATTCGATGTTGTCGAAATGGCGACAACGTAGGCTGGCTTGACCGAGACTATTAATCAGAATACGTCTGGGTGTTGTATAACTTTGCAGGAATATCTAAACGTGTAGAAGTCTACAGTAATAATGACTAAGTAGCCGAATAAACAGCTTCTATATCCCTCGGGTGTAATCGGTATTTGTCGTAACATCCTCCGTACCTGGGTAAGCCTACGTGGCTATTACGCCTAAAGAACGGTCACTGTGAGTAGAGGTTTACATAAAAGTACTCGATCTGTTTCACAGAGGATTATGAAAGTCTTCTATTATCTCTGTAAAAGATGACTACTTTCAAAACGTGACGTCTCATCACGCGGCGTCAATCATTGGCTCAATAGCGCATGCATTGTTTAGATACGACGTTACTGATTCGGGCAGAATGCTGTCTTACTCATTTTAATACGCATTTAGATTAAATAGGAATTAATTTTTACCTACAAATATGTCAAACGTCTTTATTTATTTTTCTAATACATAAAAAAAAATGTTTTAGAATTGAATTTGTCGGGGGAAAAAAGTTAATATTTATGGCTCATCAAGTCGCATTGGTGTCATCCTTATCAGTGATTGTCGCGGCCTCGCGAATATTCACTGCTGATCAGTAAGAAAGTACCTGTGATTGGTCAAATATTTTGAAGCGGTTTCAAGCATAAATTTTATCGTATTACTGCCCATTGCTGGACTGGCTTCTAATACTTGAGCGTTTGAGGGAGTGTTCTATTCTTCCCGTTCAATCAAATCCATCCTACGTACAGCACCATGACAGCCCTTCGTTTAATCTCTAGACAGTGATTTAAGGTATTAAAAACAGTGAAAGTCTTGTTCGGCTTCATACAGTATTGTTTACATTGTAATCATGTTGACAGCCTCGTTTGTCACGCAATTAATTTTTCTGCAATATTCTGCTATGCACTGGTTAATTGGGCATACTAAAATCGTGAGTCATGACGTAACGTTATGTAAACATATTTGGTCCAATTTGGAGCTCTGTTTAAAGCGTGATCATATTGTTACACAGTTAGTTATTGGTTGTTAATCGGGCTATTGACCAGTCATAATTTGGAACAGAAATTTGCTTCCATTAAAGCAGTGTTTAGTTGGATTAGCTCTAATCCATCGTAACACTGCGGGTAGTATGATTGTTGTACGATCGTGATGGAACTTCTCATTGTTGTTTCTTCGACAATTTCGCATATATTTGCGATGATGTCATAGTCAGTTCCTGGTCCATAGTAAGATTATACCCTTTTTGGGTTTTTTTATAAACGGGTATTTTTATTCCCATAAAAGGATCGAGGAGTATGTCAGTACAGTAATAACTGTATTAACACGCACGGACAACTGCCCGGGTTTGTGATACTCGATTAAGTAAGCTCGTAAATGTGTGATGACGTCATAGTCAGTTCTTGGTCCATAAGTACGATGATACTTGTTTTTTTTTTTTTTTATATATAAACGGATATTTTTATTCTCACGAAAGGATCGAGGAACAGGCCAGTACGATAATAAAATGTATTAACATGTACAGACAACTGCCCGGGTTAGCTATGCTCGATTAAGTAAGCTCGTAAATATTTCTATTTCTGGCTTTTCAATATTGAGATAAGTTCTAAAAGTAACAACAATACAATTCCCTAAGCAATGAAGCGATATGTGTTTAATATAATAAACTTTCTATCACAGTCCTATAGTGATGTATATAATATCGATCTATTATATTCAATCAAACTGTGTATTTATAATCATTGACTGGTTCTTAGTGCAGGACATGGGGGTTAGATGCGCGCTGTATCATAAGGTCTGTCATTGAGGTTTCCATCCCCGGTTGTACGCGACAAGGAGTAGGGTCGCCTGTTCAGCCTTGTTGGTTTTCTCCAGGTCCTCCGGTTTCCTCCCACTGTCAAACACCCCTACGTGCAAGAAAATTATTGAAATAAAATTGAACCATATGATAGTCCCAAAATGACATATTTTGTGTCGAGTGGACGACGTTAAACCCCTCATAAGGTCTGTCATTGAGTCAACTGGCGTGGTTTCCATTCCCCAGTTGTACGTGACAAGGAGTAGGGTCGTCTGTCCAACCTCGTGGGGTTTCTCCAGGTCATCCGGTTTCCTACCCCATTCCTCCCACTGCTAGCGACCCCAACGCGCAAGCAAATTATTGAAATAAAGTTGAACCAGTTTGTGTCGAGTGGACGTTAAATCCCCGGGTGGGGATATGGATAGAGCTGTCATGTGATCAGGGGAAACAGGTACTAGTTTTAATCCTGTTGGAGGCAGACCATCGTTAAATGGTCTGCATCTCGATAGATCATCTATTTATAGCAATTCTCTCTCTCTCTCTATCCACCTCTCTCTCTCCAGTGCAGGACATCTTCAGTAGAAGGTGATCTCGGTGTAACTCCGTATATCTTATCAAGCCCTGCATATTTCGTCACTAATTTCGATTGGCTACTGAACCAGCTGGGGACCTCTTAGATTCCTGGATAGAAAATATCATCGCGAATACC